CTGGCTCACGCTTGCGCTTGGTGCTGCCAGAGGCGGCGTTTCCACCTTCTCCATCTCTGACGATGTCCTCCGCAGCCAGGGCACCGTTCTCAGAGTGGCTTCCATTCAAGGAGCGAGCACGACTCAGGACTCTGCGGGAGAAACCGTTGTTGGTTCCTCTGACGAGCTCGAGCATGATGTGCAACATCAACATCTGACGAAGCACCTCTGACTGCTTGGGGAGGCAGAAGGCCACATATGGTATGCGCTCCCTTGCGCACGCCAGGGCAAGAAGCCCACATCCCGGTGTGAAATCGACCACCGCTGTGCGATTTCTGACGACTCCCCCTGGACCACAGTAAAGGTGGAGAATTTCCTGCCAGAAGCACTCTGACGCTGCCCAGCCGAACCACTCCACGCCATCAGCCTCGATCTCTGCCGAAGGGTCCTGTTGCTCTTCGTCCTGGGCCGGCTTCTCTGACCCAACAGAGATGTCTGCGCCAGTGCCACCCTGATCTGACTCTGCCAAAGGTTTGCCCAGTGCCTTCATCATTGCAGCCATTGCGACACGCTTCACCTGCACAGCCGCCTCTTGGGCGCTGCGCAACCCGAGCCCTTGCAAGGAGCGAGTGTAATTGGTGCCGGGAAGGTCCAAGAACTTTCTCTCGCGCAACTCTGTCGAAGCACTGACCTTCGTCAGCAGGAAGAGGTTCTCTAACGGATCAGGCAAACTGATTCGTCCTTTGCAGACCTTCTGCGAGTGCTTTCTGACATACCCGTCCTTCGTGAACTCCTGGTTGGTGTACACGCAGCGAATTGGGTTGTTCAGAATCTTCTTGGGAAAGGACGGTCGACCTTTCAGGACGCCTCTGACGTTCTTCACCATCTTTGATGATGTCACAGTTCGGCGCCCATCCTTCAAGAGCAGCATGTCGTTGGCGTTGAAGAAGCACTCGTCCACGTCATTCTGATCTGACTTCTTTTCAAACAGGGCTTCAATGCAGTTCGTGAAGTGGGACTCGTCTAACTGGGGAAGGATCCTCCAAGTCTTGCCACTCAGCGCAGGCCGGTCATACCTGGAGCATGCGTCATACACGTAAAGAGTGCGATGGTCAGACGGCAGACTTCGGCCATCCAGCTTCGCATGCAAAGTCTCTGACCACCTGGTATTGTCTGGCGCATCCGACAGTGTGACATACTGGCTGATGCCTTGCATACGCATCAAGAGAAATCTACAAGGAACCAACGACGCGCAGCACATGCAAATGATGTATCAGCGGACTAAGGAAAGGACGGGACGAGGCATACGCAGAGAGGTTCTTCAGGGCATCATCTGACACGTTTGCGAAGGAGTCGGAGATGATCGACGGGATCAGCAAAAGGGGGAATTCCTGTTGCAATCTGACCGCAGGTGTGTCCGGAGACTCTTCCACATCTGCGTCGCCCACAGCAATGTGCTCTGGCTTTGACACCGTTGGTGGCTGTTCTTTCTCTGACTCACCAAGCTGAAGTGTTTCCTGCGAATCCGAAATTGCCGCCGAATTGTTCTCTGACTCGGGAACCACAGGGGGCGGCGGCGGCGCCTTCTCTTCCTCGTGCAGCTGCAGGATTTTGTCAAGATCGAACAGGTCCTGACCGCGAGGCCGTTACATTTTCAGGGGCTCCTACACATGATACGAACGACATGTGTTAAGCACGGATTCTACACTTAGTCCTCGGTGCAAAGCTCTGACATTGACAGGATGCCCTCAGCACTCATGTTGACATCCTTTGCAAGGCACTTGTGAATGATGTGGTCGCCCGTGCCATCAAAGAGCATCTGCAAGCCTTCAGCTGCACACCTCTCTGACGGGGCAGGAAATAGCTCAGGAAACGTCAGAACCTCTTCTGGCTCAAAAGCTTCCAGCAATTTCCCGCGTGGGAATAGGACATGGAATCTTGTCCATTCTCCAAATGTCTCTGCAATGTTCTTACACTGCAATTTCCAGGAAATGTAATGAACAATGCGCCGCAAGGCCGACAACAATGGCACGGTTCTTGTCCGGAAGTCCGGTTTTTTGTCATAGGTGCCACGCAAGCATCTGACATGGACACCGGCGACGACAAATTCCAACAACCTTTCTTGCAGTGTCACGTTCTTCGGGCAGCTCGTCTTACCCATCACTGCATCCAAAGCTGTCCACTTTGCCAATGGATGCTGCTTGTTGTAGACAAACTCAAGTGCATCAAGGTGATTGATTGCAGTTGGGGTCAGTCGTCTGACGATCTTCAGATGCACCTCAGCAGTCTTGTCTCCGATTGTGTCGTCCTTCTCCGCGAAATTGATCTTACCGTACCATTCTGCCACGTCAGCAGGGGTACAAGGAAGACTGCTGTTCTTCAATGACAGATAGACCTCCCACGTTTGCAAGCAAACTTTGTACCCAAAGACCGTAGAGAAGACGCTGTTGGCTTTCAGGTCCTCCTCAAGCTGGGTCCGCTTCCTGGCAATGTGAGTGCACCATGTGGGCTTAACTTATGAGCCCCTTGTCCCCTATGCTTAGCACGATTTAATTATGGGGGTCTCCGCTGTTGACTGACACATTGCCCTTGCCCTACTCCAGACTGACATGGAAACGCCGGCCCGTCATGATATAAATTACGCTAAGGATCACATTGTAATCATCGTCTGACGGAAGCAAGAGGAAGGTCACCGCCACACTTTGCATTGCATCTTCAAAGGCTCGAATGAGATCAAATTCTTTGTTCTGACGAGCTTGCGCAAAGCCATACAGAAACGCTGATCGGAAGAGGGACTGGTCAACAGCTTGCCAAGAACCAACTTTTGGCATGCTCAGGGTGGAGGTGGCCCGGATCCTTGGCAAAAAACACCAGCAGACATGTCCGGCACATTCCGTTGCAACAGACAGAGACCATTCAAACAAGAAGCGTGGTGGCGTACTTCACATCACAGATCTTACGTGTATCCACTTTTCCCGGAAGCTGAAAGTAGTGGTGGTACGCTCTGACGATGTTTCCCAGATTGGGCCAAAAGTTCTTTTGCATCTCGAACGCCTGGGTGAATGACATGCTCATGCATGTTGTGTAACACTGCTACTGGACTCTCACAGAAATTCTGACACAGAAGCTACGCTAGCAAACTGGGCCCGGCGCGTCAAGGCCGATCCAATGCATCGGAACCAGGCAGGTGTATTTCCCGACCGCCTGCATCTGCTCCTTGTACGTCTCCGGGTTGAAAGCCGAGATGCCGCTGTAGTCTGACGGCGGGCGGTCCGTCTTCTCCGCGGTCTCTAACCAATCCAGGAGCGGGGCGATAATCTTGTTGATCACCATCTTCACGTTCTCTGACTTCACCATGTTCTTACGTGCTTGATCGAAGAGATCCAGCGCGCGCAAGTAGGGCGTGTCGACCGGGATCAACTCAACCTCTGACGATGCAGCCTTGGACGTCTTACTCTCCTTCGCGGCGGCTGGCTTCTTCGGCGAAGTTTTGGCAGCAGGCGCTGACGCTTTCGGGTTCGCGTTCTTCTTGTTGGTCTTGGGCGCCATCTGGCTGTCAATCTGACTGTAGCAGAAGCCGCCAAAGAAACACACACGCACGCACACTGAAGCCCGAGGCTGCAGGTTTTACGTGGAGCTTTGCTAAACAAGCACTGCACTTGAAGCATGCGTGCAAACTGCTTCAAGAAGCGGTCCTTCCACCCAGACATAGAAGGTCAAGCAAACAGCAGAGATGTCTGACGCCCGGCCTTATTAATGGACACACTTTGATGGGTTTCATGCCACACCCCCAAAGTGTGTCCACCACACACTGTGGACACACTTTGGTCTTATAAACCCAAGTTTGTCCGCCAACGTTGGTGGACACACTTTATAATTTGGTCCGGGAAAGCTTTAAAGACCCCAGAGTGTGTCCACAGTGTACTGTGGACACAGTTTGGGGTTCGGGAAAAAAAGCTTCAATTTGTGTCCCTGGCATGTGTTTGACTGACATACATCCAACGGCACCTGAACTGCAAACACAAGAGAGCATGTGGCGCACATGATGCTTCTTGTTTTCCCCTTCTGACAATGTGCTGCAAAGCAGCCACGTGAAATGCCCCAGCAGTGACACACGCATCACTCGCTCAAAAGCAAAAGAGCTCGGCAACTCTGACTGTAAAAGCCTTGTGCTG